TATATATATATATTGAGAATTCAAATTGTACATATATTTATGAGAACTTTTCACCAATTTTTTTTATATATATTTTTAGCAGAAACGATCTTAATTAAAAGTTCTTCTAAACTTAATCCACACATGCTTAATTATTTACTATTATCATATATATTATGGGTATATTAATAGATAAATTAATAATTTAATCAATATAAATATATAATATATTAAAAGAAGTTAATTGAAAATATATAATATAAATATTGAGCATCTAATTTGCATATTTTAATATCATATTAATGTAGAGACATATAAATCTTCAATGCACTTCAAGATATCATACTCTTATATATTAAAAAATATATCTCTACAAAATAAATACAAAATAGTCCATCAATATATTTTTAATAAGTGAAAAATTAAGACTATGAGTTCAAATACATAAAATTATGAATAAAATATTTAAAAAATTCATATATTTATAAGTGATTTTTTGCAAATTGAGAGGGTGCACTTTCCTACCCTCTTCATGATACAGGTCCACCACCAGCTATCAGCATGTTTACTTTTCACTATAAGCAAGAATTTCTATTTTTCTCACAAAACATAACTTTGGATCATGTGTAAGGTCAAGGACATGTAAACAAACACATTATATGTTTGCAAATTGCGTTGTTCTGACCCAACTTTTAATAAGCCAAAACATAAAAAACAACAATGTGTTGTTATGGAAGCCAACGTATACTTCAGTCATGATCAGTCGAGTCCAAAGTCCAAACACAGCATCTATCTAAAACCAAATATATAATTTTTCAATGTGTAAGAACGCCACTAACCCTTTAAAAGAAATACAAAGAATGATAATTCAAGAGGGGCTATAAGCAAAAGGTAATTAAAAGTGAGGAAAAAAAAAAGATGTGGCTTTTCGCCTAACTTTTGACAACGCTGCTTTGGGATTCGAGCAAACGCAAAATGTATCCTTAGCTGTCTTTGATCGTTTATTCATTCTAGATGAAACTTCAATAGCTGTTAGATTGACCTTAGGATTTGGTGGGTTACAACACCACTTCTGTTTGACTAATGTTAGCCTTATATAATCAATATTGGTTCATATAGGATTTGTGTCTTTTAATCATGTTGTTTAGAGTTTGAATCTTAATTTTATGTATGAAATAAATTTATATTAAAAAAAAATATTTATCTTATTTGAACTCATAATCTCCAATAAAAATTAGATACTTCTTTCAACAATATTTCATACTAATATTATAATTAAAAAAATATTAATCCTATATTGCACTTTCCTTTGCCAAGTCAATAGTCATGTACACATTGTTTGCTAAACTTATGAATATTATTTATTCAAGATTAACCCTAATTCTTATAACACATTTATCAATATAGTAAGGAACCTTAATCAATTTTTT